GTCCCAAGTAGCTCTGGCAAGTCTATCTCTTCATTTGTTCGCAGTTGTTTCTTGACATCTCTGTGGCACCATTCGCTGTCGGCATTCTGGCCTGCCCTTGCCACCGAACTTAAGTTGGTGAGGGGTGAGGGGTGCAGATTCCGAGAATGCCAGGGGGCTGTCTGCTACTGCACATTCCATCAGGCTGCTAATATCGAAGCACCCTGCATGAAAGCAACTTCCAGATGCGACCTTCTTGGCGCCAAGGGGAACTGTCTGAGCTCCTTGCCACCGTAATATCGGGTTCGGAATAATTGCTGATAGCATTACCTTATGGCCCCTTTCGTAATTATACTACAGTAACCTCCCCTCCCCCACCAGCAAAAAAAAGCACCTTTGCCAATATGAAGGCCCCTATAGTAAGTCTGAGACCTCCTTCAGATGGACTTGTCATGAAACAGCTCGGTAGCCCAGTGGTGCCCTTTTGCCCCGTGGGGTTCTAGGTGCCGTTCCTTTATAGGAATAGCTAACGCCGAAAGGGGCAGCACTGTTAAGGTAATTGGTTACTGGGACGCCACGGCCTCTTCTCGACTAAGCCCAGCTCAACTTAAAATCCCCTAAGCCCAAAAACTTCCCTAAACCCCATAATCCTTTGGGAGGTTTTAGGCGACGGATACGGACTACAGAAGGCATCAGGGGGCTCCTGTAGCCCCTAGCCTCCAAGGGGCATCTCCTGGTATTCTAATGTTGGTCCACTTGGGGGTCTTGGTTTTCATGATCATGCCCTGAACCCTTGCATTTGAGGCTTGGGGTACCCAACCAGGTCCATAACAGTTTGGGGTTGAGAACAGGGGATGTAGGGATTTCGGGCAAATTCTGTGCCCTTTCGGAAGTTTATCTACGGCATTACGGCAGTTGAGGGTGCCTGAGATGTCCATGCGCAAGACTTTTAGGTTCTGGGCTTTCAGAGTCTTGCAGGTCGTATCTGTCCGCAAGGTTGCTTTCCTGCCGGCTGTTTAGCACGTCTCACGACTCAGCGAACGCTGGATCCGTGTTGGATTGCTAATGCAACCCTCAGCTCCACCCTAAACCCTAAGCCCTAAACCCTAAACCCTAAACCCCTAAACCCTAAACCCCAAACCCTAATGGGCTTGTACGCCCTGTAGAACCCTGCGTAACCCATCGACTTTTTGCTTTTGTGTTTGAATCAGAACAACCAAGTCCACCCCCAGTACTTAGTAGCCGAGCAGGTGACCCTTCGAACTTTTGGGCATATGAAACACCTACCAAAATGTGGGTTTGTTTTACTTTTGGCCAGGGTATGCAGCTTCCATTCTTCTTAAACCGGCCGATGAATCACCTAAATCAACGTATCTCGGTGAGTACAGAAGCCTCGTATTGACAAAGACATGAGATGCCGTTCGTGCATTGTGCACGGGCATCGCTTTGCCAGGCAATCCAACGCATGTCAGAGGATAGGCGGCAGCCATTTTCGGACGGTCTTCGAATGTTGTGTCGGGATACAGCAGGTTGGACGGATCACAGGACTTGCGGGAAGCACGCAAGTTAAACTGCAACATGTCCAACCGTGTTCTTTTCTTGCATCTTCCGAAGAAGAGCTTTCAGGAACCCAAAGAACCCGGAAAAGAACTTCCTCCAAGTACGCCAGGCCAAAAGAACCTTAACTGGTGCCAAGTACATCAGTAGGTTGTGAAGCAGAATTTGAAAGCAAGGTTCTACAACATTCGACTTGTCTACTTTTTTTTTTTTGGGGGGGGGGGGGGGGGGGGGGGGGGAGGGGGAGGGGGAGGGGGAGAGGGAGGGGGAGAGGGAGGGGGAGGGGGAGGGGGAGGGCCTTAGGCTTCAGATAGTGCTTCGACACCGTGACCGACCGAAAGGGAGTTGCCGGCCAGCAAACCTAGCTTGTAGGTATTGCCAATGTCGGAGGGACTAGATCCAGAGAGCTTGCAAGGAGTGCTTCTGGACGCTCATACTTTCAAGGCTTCCTTTGCCCTTAGATTCTTTGGTGTATTGAGACCTAGGTCCTATCGTCCCCGGGTGCCAGTGCTAAGTATCTCTTTACTTGTAGTTGGCTACAAATTAAAGGGGCCATGCAGGGTACGCTTAGGAAACCGCTGAACGATTTTTGAAGAACAGATGACCTTGGGGGCCTCTTTCACTTGTGCGCGAGCACAGTCACTCTGGCATTCCTTTTCACCGTTGTCCTCGCCTGGCGCAGCAGTGGATAATGGTACCGTGGCCGCAAGGACGTTGGTTTCGGGGCATGGGGTGTTGCATTGCGACCGTAGCAGGTGAGCGAACTCTGAATAGCGAAGAGGTATGTAGGCATGACAATGCCTTAGCTAAACCAGACCGGGGCTTGAACAAGCATGCAGCACTCGCTTGGACCCTTGGCCCTTTTGGGTGTATTTGCGAGGTTCGTAGTTAGGAAGATATGACCAAGAGGGTTTGAAGGGGCAATATAGGCATATAAGATCTGCCCAGCACATAAACAAGAAGATGTCGCTCCGAAGCCCATACATGACTGGAGGTCCCGGGCAGTTCGCTTTGCACCTTGCTGGAGCACCTGTTGTACAGGCCTGGGTTGAGGGTTTACGGGTTTCAGTGGGGGGGGGGGGGGGGGGGCTGAGGAGTTCAGAGGGGCTCAGAGCTCAGTTTCAGGGGTCTCTTCTCCTCGGTCTACTCCTTGCTCATCCCTGGAGTGCCCAACCCCAGAGTATCTCTACCCAGAGACGGAATTCTTTATGTTTGTATGAAACCCAAGGAAAGCTTATAAACATCTGATTCTTCTGGTTTAAAAGGGGGTACAGATGTAACTCGCACCCTTGCGCTCTCTCCTCCACAGCCGACCAACCGGCCCAACCCCTCGTGCAACCGTGCTGGACCTTGAGTCCCAAGACCCGTGATGGGGTTTGCTTAGGGCTTAGGGTGATAAAATCCGGGGTTCGGGTGTTCAGGGTGTTCGGCGCGCAGAAAGTGCACTTTCTACCCTCCTCCCTCAAGCTTGCCCTGGCATCGGGCATGGCCATTGCACTAGGGCTCTCCTGGACTGTGTGGTGATGTGTGGTGGGAGGGGGTGGGATACGTGCCTTGTGGCTTCAAGACTTTGCAGCATACCGCCACAAGCCTTGTAAATCCCTTGGAAAGGACCAGCTTGGAAGGGGCTTGGGGTCCTCACTGGTGTGTTGGGTGTATGAGGTTTCTTTATACACACAAAGGTAATGGGTGTCTAGCATTTGGGTTTGGCAACCTTCAACCTCAGAGCATTTGGCTTTGTTGCAGGCCCGTGGCCCCCACGCGCTCACAGTGCACCTGGAGAACATCACTACTGCGTGTCTGACCCGTGTAGACAAATCTGGGCATGCTGAACTCACCACTCGAAGCCTTCAAATACTTAGCCAGGGATCATGATGATGGACCCTTATCATGGGATTCATCTTGCTTGTAATTTGCGGATGAAGGGTCCCACAACCCCTTAGGTTGACCTGAAGCAGTTAAATTCCAGCCGACGACAAGCAGAGCGTCCCTAAGCCTTGTCAACCTAAAGCCCTAAACCAAGCCACTTCTCTAAATTATGGTCCCTTTTTTGCGTACCTTTAAATGTTAGGGGCTGTATAGCAGAGGGATCCAAAGAGGCCCATCATTTTCTGAGGGCTCGCCCACATGCTCCTTGTCAGCCTGCAGCCCTGGGTTGCAAGCTTCGAGCCAGGTGAGCTCAGCGGAGTCAGATTCTGGGGGGTGGAAGGGTGGGGAGGGGATTATTTTGAGGTTGGATGATAGAGTTTAGAGAGACCAAAGAGGGCTCCAAGAATCTGGGCTTCGGGTTTAGGGTTTAGGGTTTAGGGTACAGGGTTCAGGGTTTAGGGTTTTAGGGTTTAGGGTTTTAGGGTTTAGGGTTTTAGGGTTTAGGGTTTAGGGTTTAGGGTTCAGGGTTCAGGGTTTCATGTTTAATGCCTCCACCCCCACCCCCCTGCAGATCTCCAGGCGAGCACCAAGCGGACAAAACAAACCCTGAAAGACTCAGACTTGGGCTGAGGGTTTAGGGTTTAGGGTTTAGGATTGGTTTAAGGGGATTTAACGTTGAAGGTTTTGGGGCTTGACTTGTCTGAAGGCTGAGGAGTTCGGAGGCTCGTGACGGTTCAAGATGTGTTCACGCTTCGTTTGGTTTAGCGGGTGTCCAGGAGTTAAGGAGAGCTTGGGCCCGTGTTTTCGTCAACTACCCCTGCTGACGCTCTGGATGCTGCTAACTAAGAATTCAGGAGCATTTGTGAACCATGATGCAAGTTGAGGGTAGACACAACCTAAATGCTCACCTCTTAATGGTTATCAAGAGAACAACGCCACCCGACATGCCCGCTCAAATTGAAACGGTGCATAGTTACTGCTCTTTTCGTTCAGCTAGTCCTTCAGTTTGTTTCGTGTTCAGATTAAATGCCGGTTGCTATAGTTGCTGTAATGGCATAATTGTCTAACGATGGTCGATATCGTGTGTCGACATCAACGTCAACCAACAATGGCATACACGCTGCAAAGTTAATGCTGTCATGGAATCAGGATGTTGGGGTGCGCGCGTCAGGGAGCTTGATCTTTGCGTAGCCAGATTTGGCCCTGCCATATGTCACGAGAATGAAGAGGTTGTCGTTTAGGATGCCTCGTCATACGTTGCTTGCATCCCTGCAATTCCGCATGAACTCCTGAAGACTGGGAATACCTTAAAAAGCCCTTGAAGCCCTGTGCCAGATCCCCACCCTCAGCTCCTTCAACCCTCGTAAGCCCTATCAACCCTAAGAGCCCTAAATCCCGAATCCCAAGATGCCGAAGGATGAAGGCCTCTCGGCCCCAAGGACTGTAGACTCCAGCAACTCCAGAAGCAGCTGGATTCTAGACTTCTAGCACTTCTGGGGGCTTCTAGGGTTTAGGGCTACTAGGACCCAGCCCTAAACCCTAAACCCGAAACCCGGAGACTTCAGAGGGTACTGAAGGCTTAGGAGCCCCTCGCAATGGCGCGCCGCGCCCGTTGTCAACGGCTGCTGGTGCTGGCGCTGCTCTCTGGAGTGCCTCTGCAGGAGGGGTTTAGGGTTTAGGGTTTAGGGTTTAGGGTTTAGGGGGGTGTAGGGGGACAGTCCCCCAAGCCCCGTTCGAGCCTAGAACTAGGCGCCCTTCCATGTTGAGAGCCGAGCAAAGACCGCCCACGAACCCTAAACCGCCCACAGGGAAGACACCTCTTAACCCGAGACCCTGGTCAGAGACCTTCCCTGCTAGCATCCCTTATGACAAGGATCCCTGAAAGAAGGAACTCGCTTTTGAACAGCCCCGATACCTGGGACACCCCTTTTCGGGGCTACCCTTCAGTATGACCCTGAAACACTATAACCCTTAAACCTCCCAAACCCATAGACCTCAAAAAACCACAAACCCCAGACCATCAAACCCCCAACCCTCCATATAAACCCTACAGCACTAAACCCTGAAACCCTACTACCCGAAACCCTCAAATCCCTAAACCCTAAAATCCCTAAACCCTAAAATCCCTAAACCCTAAAATCCCTAAACCCTCAAATCCCTAAACCCTAAACAGAACCTTGAAACCCCGCAAAACCCCAAATTTTTGCCCGTTTCAAGCCACTCCCCAGGCTGCTGCAAGCACCGCGCACGACCGAAGGAGCCGGTGTCGGTTAGAGGGCTTAGGGGAGTTTAGGGTTTAGGGTTTAGGGTTTAGGGTTAAGGGTTTCGGATGAATGTAGGGTTTTGTTGGTTAGGGTTTAGGGTTTAGGGTTCAGGGTTCAGAGTTTAGGGTTTAGGCATCAGGGCTGGGTTTCGGGCCTGGGGTTGATGGCTCAGGAGGTTGAAGGCCAGTACTCGTTTGTCTTGGGGATCCCAAACCAACCCAATCGGACCGTCGCGGCTTGAACCCTGGTTTGGTCCTCCGCAACCCACCGGGCCTAATTAAACCCCTAAACCCTAAACCCGAAAACCCTAAACCCTAAACCCCAAACCCTAAACCCTGAACCCTGAACCCTGAACCCTAAACCCTAAACCCTATACCAAAGCCCTCGAAAGCCAAAGAGTAGCTGCCAGCAAAGAGCCCAGGACGCCTGGGGAGCCATGTGTCGATGTGGCCGGTTGGAAGGATCCGGTTAGGGCTTTAGGGGTTGGGGGCTTAGGGTTTAGGGTTTAGGGTTTAGGGATGTTTAGGGTTTAGGGTTTAGGGTTTAGGTTTTTAAGGTAGGGGCTTGAGGGTTTTAGGGTTGGGTTCAGGTTTTGGGGCCCAAGTTCTTGAAACGAGCGTACACACTGACAGGCTCTCAAGACAAAAGGCAAGCTTTGGGTTCAGGGCTTTTGGGGATTTAGGGCTTTAGGGGTTCTAAGTTTTACAAAATGAACCCACGGGCCCGAGACCACTCGCCGAACATCCTGGGCTGCTTCACACTTCCGCGCGTTCCCTTGCCCGACACGCCCTCTGAGCCCATGGGTTCTATAAAGTCCACTCATGCTACGGGTAGTTCTCTAAAATAGGGTCCCCTCCGGGGGGTGCTTGTTATAAGGTGCCGTGCGAATGGAACGCCAACAGGGGCCCTCGTAGAAAGAGAATTAACTCCATGAGCTTGTACTATAGAGCCCATAGCCCTATGTGCGAAGTGTCCAAACCAATGAAAACTTGCGCAACCCGTTCCAGTAACTAGCTCAGGCCACACGAGGAGAAAGAAGTTGTATATTTACAGTTGTAGGTTGTAATGTTGCACCAGAAGTAACAGTATCCCTGTCAACGGGGAACTCAAGGTAGCTAGCCAATCGTTCCGAGCCACTCCCGACGTTAACTATCGGAAGGATCCCCAGAGTTGCTATCTCCAGGGGGTGGTAACCTATCGCTCTAGATGTATCCACTAGCCGTCCGGCTGCGTGTTGTACACCTATCCCGATATTCACCTGAACAGCCACCTGCCCTCAGTATCCTCCGGCCTCCGGCTATGAGTTGTAAAGAGAACAGATAACTATCCCGAGGTTAGGGAAAAGGATCTATTCCTCGTCAACGCCCGACCCTTTTGGCTCCTCTTTCCTCCGGATGCGAGTTGGCCAATCAGGTCCACGACGTACAGGAACACTATCCACGGGGGCGAAAACTGTACAATACAGGCTGCTACAGTACTAAGAAGGGCCCTTCTTGAGCAGCTTACAGCTGCGATCGAACATGGGATCATCATTCTATCCACGCTCGGCCACGATGAAGTCGGCAAACTATCCATGATCCACATTCGAGAAGGGGTCCAAACCCGAAATACATGTACACGTCAAATCACCATCCCGTGGAATCAACCTGACCTCTTTGTGCTAAACACCCCCCGTTTTCGGGACGCACTCAGCGGTCAGAAAATCGATGAATTCGCGACTTCTATCCCGGTTAGCTTCAGGCAAAAACAAGAACGCAGGAGGCATAGTCGACCTGATCGCCAGCCCCTTTAGGGCGCCCACCACCACCCGCGATTACGGCGATCACTCCGGCTATCCTCGGAAGCAACACTTCCATCCGCTAACCTCGACATTCATCGCAGTAGCACAAACCACCAGTCCGTGGCTCTTGGCTACACTTCGTGCCCTCACGTCTACTCCGCGTAGTAAAATTGTCTATCCGTCGCATTCTTGGAAAATCAAGCGTCGCTTCTATCCATTTCATCACCCGACTCAGTTCATCTTCTCCATAGCTATCCTGGGTAAGGCCTCACTTTTGATCAGTACTCTTCGATGCCAATGTAGTTCCCACGCTTCTATCCCTTCATTCTTGTATACGATCTTCTCCGTGGGGACTCACTGGTGATTAGCCATGCCCATTCTGATCTTTCCTCTTCTCCACAGCTTCATCTTATGGTCTTTTCATGTGAAGGTCTTATTGGTGGCGAGCCATGCCTTCCCAGAAGCTTCCGCCGCAGGGTCTTATTGGTGGCTAGCCAAGCCCTGCACCAGAGTCTCACGACAGCCGTTCACCCACTCATCTCATCCTGTGCCATCCATCCGCTCTATCCCCCCGCGTGCGCTACCAGCCATGGCCCGGGCACATGACTTTGCATGTCCCATTCTATCCCTCACGCCGAGCCATTGGTGACTAGGCAGCTTTGTGCTTTCGTCCTATCCCCGCTTGTCGCCATTTCATCAGGCTTCATCTCTTTGGCGATCACGTCGCGGTCTCCACATCAGCGGCCTTCCATGCTTTCCCTTTCCTTTCGCAGGATCACCCGCAGAAGCATCACTTGCATCATCACCCGTCTCAACGCCCACGTTTGCCCGGTTGGTTGATGTCGTCTCAGTGCCTCTGAACTCCGGGTTGAGCGCTTCGCTCATCGCTGACTCGTCTTCTGTTTCGGGACCAGTGACGTGGCCACCCCTTTGTGCCCGAGTTCTCTCTAGCAGAGAGCCCTTTCCTCTTCCTCTATCCAGCATCTTCGTCCCTTCCGCAAACCTGGGTACAGTTGGCATCCATCCGTATCTGCCTCCTCGATCATCAGCTCTATCCCTATCCCGCCCTTTTCCCCATCCGCGTGATGAGCTTCTCACCGAACTATCATCACTCATGGCGTACTTCGGCCACCTGATGATATCCCTTCTCTCCCTATCCAGAGGTGATCGGGTCCTCGCTTTGGGCTCAGCACCATCGGTTCTCGCCCCACCTCTCTCTTTCGGTTGTATTGGACTCGAACTTTCTGCCCTGATCAGTGGCTCTTGTCTCTTCCCCGTCTCGTCCTTAAGCTCCACATCGACGGTTCTCGTACCTTTCGATTCTATCCTTCTTGGCCACCCCTTCTCGTTCAGCTCCACTAGGCTTACCCCGGCAATTGGATATGCCGTGCCCGCATTAGCCGCACGCGCCTCCGGCTGCGCTTCGTCACGAGAATGTCCGGCTACTCCCATCGAAGCCCAGTTCATCATCATTCCTCCCATCGGTACTGAACACCAGTATACCTCTGTCACCGGACCTGTCTCCGATCTCTCCCTTCGTAGCCCTAGGTTCCGAATAGCAGATCCAGCAGCATGGCTATATCCATGAAGTTTGTTCTTCTTCCCCTTAATCTCTCCCCATGTCGCGTTGAATGGTATCCCTTCGGTGTCAAACTTCGTGTGCTTCGCCATGGGTTGAGTGGGATCTCGCTTTGTTTCTGCAACTATCCTCTCCATGATCTCCAGACAACTATTCGCAGTCTGCACCATCATGTCCCTCGTGCTTTTCGCCCAAGCGTTGTTCCCCCATAACGGCGAGTTAAAACCTGCGGCCATAGCTATCAGCAGCTGATAACTCATAAACTGTCCTCCTCTCCTCAGACACCCTGCATGCATGGAGAAGAACCTCTGCCTCGCTGTCACTACAGCGCGTGCCGCAACCGTCTCAAGGGCTTGCTGGAAATCTGACGCATCCACAATTCCCGAGTGATCTGTGCCACTCTGATTGTACTCGAAGTTCAGAATCTTCCCGAACGATGTGGCCAGCTCTCTATCCAACATCATCGCATGAATCGCCGCCTCTTCCATAGCGAACCTGTATACCCCCGGTCGTGACGCTGCTATCTCGTACTCAGGCCACAATCCAGCCCTAAAACCTAAGTACCAGTCTTCTGCGGGGTTCAAGCTTGCCAGTATGCCTGCCACCACGTCTCGTTCTATCATGTCTATCCTTTCGGCCACCATTCTGAACGAGATTTTAATCCCTGCGCGGTCGAGGGCTTCCTGTAGCTTGGTCTTCCACTTCGTCTTTCTTCCCATAGTCGCGTTTCTATCCGTGATTTCCCACAAATTCATCCCCATCAGGTAGTCCGGGTAGGATGGCATAGGCTTGCAACACATCGGGCAGATCACTATCCCTTTCGCCATCCTACAGTGGCATGCCAGGCAATGCACGCACTCCTCCGTCATTTCCGACATTATCCATCTCACTCTATCCCGGTATTCATCCGTCCCCAATGTCTTTGATAGTCTATCCCTGTTCACTTGTGAGTCCCCCCTTTCATCGGCTAACATGTCCAGCTCGCAATCACGCATGTACAGAGCCGTGTACGTGTCCTCGAACCAAACCGCTTTCCAACATGCCATTGGTACGGGCCCGAGGAGCATGAAGCGCCCACTTCTTGTTACCACCACGTCGCCTCCGATTAGTGTGAACATCCTCATGTCTATCGCTATTCCGATTCTCCTACCTCGCACAGCCGCCAATCTAAGCGAGTCGTATAGCCATTCTGGCATCCCTCCTTGTGGGAATTCTAGCCCATGCATGCTGCTCACGTCCGATGGCTCAACAGAGTACTTCGTCCAGTGTGCCTTGAGCGTCATCTGCGACCCTCGCAAAGGATTCCCCATGTCGTCCCGATGCCATCCTTCCACTATCACTCCACTATGCCCTGCCTCTGGCCAAACTATCCCGTCCTTCGCGTATTCTTGCCACTGTGCGTCACCCACCACCATGTATCCGGTGCATGGAAGATCAGCCGGGTGCAGCCTGAACCACAGAGATTCCCGCTCTTCTTTCTGTCCCTCCACTCTGTCTCCAGCCCAACTCTTCAGCATCGCCACGTTCCTCGGCATCCTCATTCCACTCGTGGGTCTCACTGCCAATGGGATGCCCACCTTCAGCTCCTTGGTCTTCGGACATCTATACACTTTGCTGGTGATCTCTATCCCGTAAAACTGTGACAAGTAAGCGATTCTGTACTCGTCGCCTCTCCTGAGCCTATACGAAGATCTCTCGTCAACTTCTTTTCTGATCCTAGACCAGGCTATCCCTCCTCCGTGGTGTTGTTCCGCCCACAGCGCATACTCTATCCCGTTTCCCTTATTGATCGCTGATCCATCTATCATCGCCTCCTGCGTGCTTCTTCTCACATTCCTCCTGTCGCCCCTTTGTACTGGGTACGCATCTCCTCCCCACGCTGCCAATTCCGCCACTATTCTTGCCATCTCAATGTACACATTCGCAGGGTACGGCTTTTCTATCTCGGTCACTTCTCCTTTGATTCCTAGCTCATTCAGCGTAGCACCTGTCCACGTCGTTACCGAGTCATTAGATACTCCCGTCGCCGTAACTAGCTCCTCTGGCTTTCCCTTTTCTATCCCCATTACCATCCTCGTCTCATCTGCGAGCTGCGAGACTAT